ATTATTATATACTTTAGTATAGTCTTCATTAGTTGGCAAGTAAATTATTGATTGTGCGTCATATTGTAAATGTCGATTTGGAGAAGAATACCTGTGAATATTAGCATAATTACTAATAAATGTAGAAACCAAAGTTGATACAGTTTGATCAATTTTTGTATGGTTTTTTGTATTAGAAATTCACTTTGTATTGCCATGTAATCGTTCAACTAACCCTTTTGTTTTTAAACTCTTATTAATTTGAATAAGATGATCTTTTCCAACCCTAATTAACTTAAGATATGCATTTTCACAGAGTTTAATATCATTATTAAATTGATAATTAAATTTCTGATTAGTATTTTCATTTGTTTGATTATATTCAAATGCTATAAGTTGACCCATTAAAACTAAATCTAGTTCCTTTTTATCTAAGCCACGAAATTGCATGTGTCATTCAAAAAATCGTTTAAATCCAACTTTTTCAAAACATTGATAAGTATTTCTCATTTGGCATTCACAATTTTTGGATTGAAAAAATTTCTATAAATCTTGTGCAGCTTCTTGTACTAACTTATTATCTTCATATTCACTTAAACCTAGCTGCTCTAAAGAAATGTATGATGGCAAAAATATGTTTTCTTTATTTTCGGTTAAAGATATAGTAAGTTAACGAATAAACACGTGATCAAATTATTTATCAATTTATAATAAATGATTGAATATTGAAAAATTAACCAATAAGCACGTGATATAAAATGATTGAATGTCTAAAAATAAATCAAAAATTCAGGGAAAAAAAACAACAAAAATTTAAGTAACACAAACTCTAATTGCGATTTTCTCAAAATGGAAACCCTTTCAGAGGTGGGTTTTCCTAGTCCACAACCCACATGGACTACAGTCTGGGATGTTTCCAAATTTGGTATATGAAGATGCTCCTTTTTTAGCAACAGATCTGCATGAAGATGATTCTAAATACTCTGACGAGGCTGAATTTGTACCAATCAGTGTTTGTGTATTTTATTGTGAGACAACTGTATTTTTAAGCCCCATGGATTCTCGTGGATCCCCGTGAATTCCTAAACTGCATGCTTCACCAAGGTTTTCTATACTAATTATTTTGAAATTTTTTGTTATGTAAAATTTTTATGAATGTAAAAAAAATACTATTAAATACTATTGTTTATATAGAAAATCAATTCTAGAAAATTCTTTTACTATGTGGATAATCAATTTCCAAATTTGGAAAAATACCAGACTGGACTAACGTGGGTGAGTCTTCAGTTGCAGTAGTAGAGGTAGAGGTAGGAGAAGACAACTCAGACATAATATTTATACGTTTTGTTTAGATTCAGATGAAGATAGTATTATGTTCTGGAAAAAAAGAGTTTTATAAGCATGACGGAAGTTCAACTTTATTGGCTACACGTGTGTAAATCACAGATCCTAAATTGTTAAATATGATTGGCTAATAAAATTAGTAAAATTTTATACTTGTATGATCTTGCCAATTAAAAATTTTGTGGCTAAGCATTCGTCACAAATAGAGCAGTGTTTTGTATAGTTTCCACGTAGTTGAGTTTACGTGTAATTAAAAGAGTGTAGATTGTTGTTGTAGTCTGGTTTTGTCATATTCAAGCTTTGCTGTAGTTAAGTTCACCGTAGTCAAGCTTCAGCAGTTAAGTTTTCTGGGTCAAGTTTCGCCGAGTCAGGTTTTGTCAGGTCAAGTTTGTTAGCCAATTTTCGCCTTGGTCAGATGTTGTTAGTTGGACAAATTTCTCTGGGACCTTTCATTATTGCTAGAGTTAGGTTTCTCAGGTCAAGTTTTTCTGGGTCAAGTTTCTCCGGGTCAGGCTTCTCTTCCCCAAGACCAAGGTTTATAATAAGTCTTATTATTCCTATTTTTTAAAGCACAAGAAATATTTATTATTTGCGACGACTAATCATTTTTATCTAAAAAAAAAAAAGCAAAATTTACGCAAAAATGCCCACCAAAAATTTGGGCCCTTGTTCAATTATCAGTTGTATGAATACCAATGTTCAATTTCGTACAATTACAGTGCTTGCTTACGAAAAATGCCAAAGGAAACAAACATTAGAGGCGTATCCTTACCTTGAAGTTGGGAAACAATTATGCCATCTGTATTATTGCAAACTAGTAGAGCTGTATATCAAAAAACATGTTCAAACCGAAAATGTGCTAGAGCCAATAAACCTCCAATCAAATAATTCAATTGATGTATTTTATTTTAGATTTAATTTTTTTTTTATAAATTATTTATTTTATATATTTATGTATTTTTTATTAATTTAAAAATAGAATACGTTCGCTTCAAGTATAGATATGCTAACTAAAGCATTATACTATCAACAACGCCGAGAACGTACTAGTTTGGAATTGGATCTGGTAAATTTCGAACGAATGATTGAAACAATTAATCCAGATCTTAAAGGTTTTTTCAATTTTATGATGGAAGCAATTATTCTTAAAGAGCGCTCTGCTTATAGCATAAGCGAAGCTAAAAAATCAGTGGTTGGGTTGTGCTATTTAATCATAGGTTTACACAACAAATTTGTAAACCAGCATAAATTAGAAGTAGGGTTGTATTTGAGAGCATCAGGTGCGACGTGGGAGGCTATTGATACAATGTCAAGTTTTGGATATTTGGTGTACTTCAAGATAGTAGATATATATTAAAAAAAAATTCAAAAAGAGCAATCAGCAAAAATCGATAATTATTTTTTAGAACATGTAATATTGTATTGTATTTTATTATATAATATATTAAAATATATTTATTAAAATAAATTCATATTTTTAATAGAATAATTTTCACATTTATAATATTGATGACTATCACTTCATTTACAAGAACTGTAGGCCTGATACGGTATCTACTTCAACAGCAAACCATTTTGCTATGTGCATAGCAAAACCTATCATAGGGTGCCCCTCCGTACCACTTGTATTAATGGTATATCAATTCACAACCCAGCAAATATAGAAGCGCTAAGGATTTGTTGGTACTTGCTTAATCAATATGCTAAAATATTTGATATTTCGTATTTGGGTTATCAGTAATCACAAGGTCGTATAGTTTAGTAATAATTTTGACCCAATCAAACTGTTAACAATACATAGTTATGCAGATAATATAGAGGAACGTAGGGAAGAGCGATCGACAAAAGGGCTTCAACTCTTAGGATTTAAGAAACAAAATTTACATTCTGTACAAGATTACGTTAGTGCATTAAAACTTATATTGTCAATAAATAACAAGACACAACATTTGGATGGGTGAGTTGTGCCAGTTGTCGCAGACTGGCCCAGCCAAATTTTTATTAGAAAAGCCCTATACATGCGAACGTTGCCTGCATTACAGTTCTTATTTCCACAACAAATTGAGTCTTTCTTGCCTATTTTAGGCCCACTTCATGTATCCCTTAACAGTAAAGAACAAGTAATTATGATATACCACTCTTTTTTTGAAAAATTGTTCTACTATATATTTGGCAAAAATAAAAAATTGGTCAAGATGTCTTGTCCTTGGTGAGTAAACCTTTTATTAGAACTCGCACGAAATGGTTGGATAAAAATCAAAGACAAAATCATTGAAAAATTTGAACGAGCATGCAAAGATGTTGAGTATCGAGCTGTAGTAGATCTGCTTGACAATTTAGTCCCAGCAATACTCGATGTCTATGCAATTCTGTTTCGATCGGATCAATTTAGTGAATATATAGAGGCGATTTTCTGTATTTGGACTTTCACTTTGCGCTGGAAGTGAAAGAATTACAACAAAGCACCTCTTGTATTCCTATCTGATTTATTTTACTAGAATGATACTAACTATTCTTTTTTAAACGTATTACAGAATCATTTAACATGTTTCAATGAATATTATGTAGAAAATGTACACAATAAAATTAGAGCCAATATATCCAAAACCGCATCAGTAGATAGTATTATAAAACAAGCCTACTTTATTATGAATCACGATCCTACATTTAAAAACACCTACTGCAAGACACAACGGTACCCATATAATGCAAAGACATTAAACTTTTTATATGATAAAACGGCACTTTTTTTTGTACAATATTTTCAATCTATTTTTTACAATTGTGGAAAAAGTATCCCAAGACCCAATAAAGATAAAAAAAAAACTGCCAATCACATACTATCTTGCAACTTTAGAGAAAGATGTGGATTTACGGCACCTCCCAACAGCTTATAGTATAGCATATTCTCCACGTCCAAGATTATATGATTCTTGTAGGCATTCGCTTGTCAATAACAATGGCATGGTATTTGTTTGCGGCCACGGTTATCATAATGATTGTTATGGTAGAAAATGCAAACATTGTATTGAATATTATAAAAAAGGACTTTTCTAAAACGTTCAAAAATTTTTAACTCGAATCGAAAAAGGGCGGATACACTTACCAAAGAAGACCTTGATAATGACGATGACAATATAAAAAGTAATGAGGAAGAATCTGAGGAAATAGAGAAGGTTGATATTTCACCTAGATTGATAGTGGAAATAAATCAAATAGAGCATTGGTAACATTTTTTTTTTTTTTTAACAAAAAAAAAAAAGAAAATACAAAGAAATACCTGCAGATTTAACTAAATCATTAGAAATTGAACCAAATAATGCATAGATATGGAGAAACTTATCGATTAATACTGTATATACAGTAGATATGAAGAAACACTTATAGATTTAACTAAATCATTAGATTTTGAATAAATAATTAACTTGCTTTAGAATTTCATAAATGCTAAACCAATTTTAATAATTAACATACTCGCTTGCGAATGCGAAAGGACAAACTATTACTAGTTATTACCATTTTACTAAGAAAAACCTACATCTAATAAAAGTCTCACAAATCGTTAGATGCGTTAGATGTGTTTAAACAAACTGTTTTCTTTGTAGCCTTATAACACCCTAGTAAAGTTTTGTAAAAATTGGGCAATTTTTTAATAAGCAGTCATATGATGTGCCCATATTTTATATGTTTTTGATATGTAAAATCTTGTGTAATATTAATGCAAAATCGATCTTTCGTCATGCTAGTTTTATGTGAAACAGATTTATCGTGTGATCTTATAGTGATCTCTACATTATATCATTATTGCGCATCTATGACCTTTTATAGTTGGAAATGACAATCTTTTTCGTCATTTAAAACTAGAACTCCAGAAATTCTGAAATTAATACGTGCTTTCAACCTCTAAAGATATGCCACTTTTCAATATAATTTTGTCTTTTCTTATTCTGATCTTTCATTAATAGAAAAAATAATATATACAAACCTGTAATGTGTGACACTTATATTTGTGGTTTACAAACAAATTACGCATAAGCCTCATAAGGTAAAAATACTGATATATAAAAATATGTGTCATGAGATTATCGAGGTTAGGTACTAATTTGAAAAATGACTTTTTACACGTTCACAAATATAAGTTATGCATAATGATAAGCCTAAGCAGATAAATTTATTATCATTATTCTAACACTGTTACGTGAACTAATTATTCGAGGTTCTCTTTAGTCATATAGATTTTTATTCGAAATCTTATTGGGAGAAGTGTGATATTTAATATCACAGCTAAACCAATAAGATCTGGCAAAGTTTTGGAACAGAGATATGGGTTATGCCGATTTACATAGAAGAATGAAAACTGGAAACTTTATGATTTTGGCTCTGAGAGCTGTGACATTAATGTCACACTACTTTACAAATAAAAAATCAAAAATCAAAAATGGCCGTAGCCCTTCCTAAAAGAAGTCTTTATTATCAAGAATTACATGAAATACATGTAGCAGTAGGTACTATTTATTCATTTAATCTGGTAATAACAAAATCAACATCATCTGGAAGTAGATTTAAGATTGTAGTAGCATTAAAAGACTTTATCCGTTCTATCGCTTCTATATCACCAACATTACTAAAGAGCCTGAAAACCTTTTTATCTCTTTCTTTTCTTTTTCAAAAGTTAGTCTCAGTAAGTTTATCTTGTATAGCAATCTGATTCCTGATTCCATCATTAACTCGAGCATTAGATACATCCTCATTACAACTTTTTCTAAAATGATCGAACAACTGCTTAATGGCTTGGCCAAAATTATAATAACATCGAATTAAATCATGGGTGGTTCTTTGAAGATTGTCTTCGGCAGTATCAATCTTATTATATAAATCGAGAAAATTAAGCGAGCTTACGTCCATCTCAGAAACACTCGACTGCAAAGTGATGGGGCCTTCAACTTGTCGGTAGGTTGGTGAAGTCAGTTCCTGAATTAATTTTTTCAATGTAGGAGAATCCTCTTTCTTAACCTGTTTCTTGGCTTTTTTGCTAGATAATTTATTTTTAGAAGTATCTACAAATGATCTTTTGTAGGGCTTTTAAATAGATTATCTTCACCTTCTCTATTATCTACATCTGACATGTCTTCTTCTGGAATTTCTTGAGGACTTCGAATATTATATTTTTTCATTCTTCTAACAATTGATGCTGTGCTTGATTCTGAATCCCGTCTAGAAAACTGATCAAGAATTTCAATACTTTTTTTGCAGTTTTTAACAGGACATACATTTTCTTTGGTAAGTAAAATTTCTTTATCGATGCAAATTCTATAAAATACGTGACCGCAAGCTAGTGTTGTGAATAATTTAATAGGACTTGGAAAATTTTCTTTATTATATAATATGCATTTATCTAGTTCTGGAAATTTTTCATTTTTAACAATAGGATTATCAAAATATTTTAGAATATTAAATACGAGGTTTTTAAAATTAGTAACAGATATTTTGTTCTGGGTTGCAGAAGCGTTATTTTGTTCTGATATAATAGAAATTTTATATACCGAATTCAAGATAAGTTTTCATAACAAAATTCTTTATATTTAGCTTATTTATATAGTTTATTCTTCACGACTAACAAACCCTTGATCTATAGATCAAGAAAAAACTAATTTCGGGCTTGGCGATCTATTTATTCACAAATTAATTAGTATAGGGAGAGATCGTACGCGTTTTTTGCGTAATTATATGTTATTTTAGTTCTCTATTCGTACCTCATACAAATCTACCAATGACCTATAATGGAATTTTATCATGTAGAATGGATGATGCTATAGTGCCCATCATATTTCGTAGAATCAGATTTGTAAATCGCTAGCGTAATTTCTATTCTTGTCTTATTTTAAGATCAGAGATATCAGATTGACTTGCGTAATGTTAATTTAAAGATTCGTAATACGCGTACTATACCAGAACGTTCCAGAAATTAGTTGCCAGATTAATTATTCATTGATCTATTCTCTATAGATTTGCAAAAATACCCACTACATAACACAGGATATAGTTAAATCATATGACCTCATCTGCAGGACAAGAGAAGCTAAATAACCTCTTTTTTCTCGCAAGCTTGAAAAAAAAAATATTTAAACTTAAAAGACTATTATCTAGTACTGATAACTTTCTATATCTGGCTTTGAGTGATTTTATCATGAGAAGGCAGGAGATAAGGTATTTTGGTATATTATCATTATGGAACAAACTTATTCTGATATTAGTACTGGTAATAAGATTGGGGTACACAAATTCTTGAAGGCTTTGGGATTATTAGATAATGAGTCATACCCATCAACATGGATGATGATAATAATAGCGAATTTGACATCAACGAAGAAGATAATAATGATGAAGATAGTGATAACGATCAGGACAATTATTGGGACTGGGACTCTAGAAAAAAATTTACCAGATGGGATTATAAAAGATGTTTTGGTGAAGATGCTTTGAAAAAGCTTTATCGAGACCAGGAAGCTCGTCAACATTTTATTCTTCTTAGGTGATTTACTATGCGCCTTTCTAATTTATCTAAACAAGCAAAAATAGATTATTTGTCGCATTTTCTAGATTTAATTCATTTGGAGTATTAGAATACAACGCATTATTAGATGCTCTAGCTTATCCTGTGAAAGGTTTAAATCTTTTCGAATATGATGAACTCGGGTTTGATTTAATAAACAATGCAAAATTGTAACCAAGCTTCTGGTGTTTTTAGATTATTAATATAGTTTAAACCATATTCAGTCAACATGTATCGGGCATAACTATTTTTTCCCTATTCTTTAAAAATATTTTGAATATTGTGCATGTTTATATTTTGATTTTATTAACTAAGGCTTTTATTTAATAAGTATGAACCGGACCGATCGATTTACTAGCAATCGTGAATAATTAGTAAAAAAAAGAGGAGTATATACTTCATAGATTTTTATTTCACTTCGACACTACCAATTTATAAGAAAAAAAATATTAATATAAAAATATATCTCTCAATTGTGATCTCAGAATAGAATTAGGAAAATGGCGGACAATTTAAGTTTCACATTCATGAGGGCCCAGCAAAAATTCTCTAAACAAGTGCTTACTACCCGACTCTCCTTCTGTTATTTATTTCTGAATTTCAGCTAACATTGCATCAATTTTAGCTAACATTGAATCCATTTCTATTGTTTGAGATGACAAAGAAGCCTGTATTTGGGGTTTTGAACTATCGCCTGTCTCTGGTTCAGAGTCAGACTCCTCTGATTCTGTATCACCTATAGCATAATTCTTTCCTGCATCTAAACAAACAATCTTATATCTCAATGCTATTCTATTAAGAAGATCAAGATGCTGATGAGTTGGGTTTGGTCCGCCATGGACTTTGCAGGCATGCTTACCTCCTATTTTTCTTAATATTTTAGGCGTAATTTTATGAGGCTTCAGGAATTCGCTAAATGTCCTAGTGTTCTGCTTTCTATTTTTACTAAAGGTGGGGTCACCCAATTTTCTAGTCTTTATAGCTTCTTAAATCTAGATGAGTAGTGTTCTTGCACGTTCTGGATTCTTTTTCATAGCAAAAAATGGGTGAGGCTCTGAATTATCCTTATTTTCTTCTTTATTCTTAGCATATCTAGTATAATACTAAGAATAACTATTTTTATGCCATGCTGGAGGACTGGAAGGGTCAACTTCATAGTGATTGATCTGGAGGCTAGATACTTCAACCGGCCTTATATACAACATCATTATTATATCTGCAAGATCCTGTAATGAGGGATCATTAGTAGTATCGATATTCTGAATCCTTTTAAGTCCTTTTTCTAAAGAGAAATATGGTAGAATTTTTAACTGATTATTGGCTACATCTTGCTCAGTCTGTTCTTTCTGAATTTTGTTAGAAGCTGTAGTAACATTCGAGTCTTTGGCATAAGTATCAATTAGTTCATAAGCAACACCAACTTTCAGTAATTTATTATGAAATAGTGAGAGCCGTGAACAACCGGCAACAATTTCTTTATCGTCATTACTTTTTGGATCTATGTCACAAGAATGAATGAAAATATCTCACTTATCACCAGTCTTAGCACAATATTTTGCTCTTTCCTCTATAGTGAGTTTTTCTTTTCTCTTATCTGTTACGAGAGCCTCTATCTGCTCTTTGCTAAATGTACGTCTTTTATCAGTGCGTCTGGCAAGGAGATCTTTAACACACTTGTGGGGCTTCTAATCATGCAATTGAACATTAAATTCTAGAGCATGTTCTCTTAATTGTTCTGAAGTGGAGTTGGTCGTCAAATTATGCTTTTCTAGAAACTGCTCTAAAACCAATACAAAGTTATTAGTTTTGGGCTTTCGGGTCTTTGGAGTAGTTGCTTTAATAGACATGTCAATGATAAGTAGATTGCAATTATTATCTAGTTATACTAATCTACTTATTTTTCAATTTGAAAAAAATAATTAATAATTTGGGATTTTATTTTGCCTAATTGTAAAGAACCCTCTTATCCAAATATCTCACTTGTAAACTGGCTTCTTATTCACTCTTTACCAAAGCATACTGTTCTCCTGAAGGTGTCAGCTTTGATCTTTCAAATCGTATACCCAGATCTCAGTAATCAAATAGGCTAGGTACGAGCCAAAGGCATAGTAAATTCTGCTTAACTTTAGCCAACACTATAGTATAAGAAGTACTAGGAATCTCAAAATCGATATCGAGGTTGTTACTAAGGACATCCTTATAAATTTTTTCTTATAGGAACACATAGGAACAGCTAGTATTGTCACATTATACCTCTAATTGACTAACCAAAGATAGATGCCAGAAACTGAAAGCGCAGTAAATTAACAATAATATCGGCCTATAATTTCAGCCTGATCTTTGGGCACAATAATTCAGCAACCAAGAAGTGATCTAAAACTGGCGAACTAATAGAGCCTTTCTGGTTTTCTACTAGTTCGCTGCCAGTATCACGATAGTTCTAGATACTATCGGGTCACTACTATAGTGCCAACTTGGATTCTCAAACCATGTATTCTAAAGATCAGCCAAAATTATATTATAGTGTTGACCGAAATTAAACGTAAGTCTACTGCGCCACCCGATGTGATATTTTTTACTATTTTGACAGATAGCTACAAGATAATAAAAAAGATGCAAAGCAATAAAAACAAATAGTTATAAGCTTAGTCATAAAAAGACTACAGAGTACCAGAAACAGTAAGTAGGTATCACTATAATCATAACTAGGTTACAGTATAATTATATTTAGGTTACAGTATAATCTTAAGTAGGTAACAATCTAATGTAAGTAGGTTGCAATATATATATATATATTGCAACCTACTATTTTTTTCATCTATTTTATACAAAATTTAGTTTTACTATTTTAGTTTTAGTAAATTTACACAAACTTTACTTTATTGATATACAAATTATACTATTACACTTGGTTATATAAGCTACACTAGCTATACTAAGCTATACTTGCTACAAATATTTTAATTTTTAGTTACACAATATTATACAAGATTATATATAAAGCTACATCACTACTATTTAAATAATTTCTATTATTTATAAATTTTTACTCCTAACTTTTAAATTCTATATTCCAAAAGAACTTAGAAATTTTTTAGTTATTTTAACTTTTTACTATCATTTTAACTCTTATAAAAAATAATTTCTATAACAAATATGTACAAAACTTATAAAAACCAACTATTATTCTTATAAAAAACTTAAAATAATTCCTATAAAAACACAAAACTTACAAAAACTAACTATCAAATATATTTACAACTTTTTTTAAAAAAATATTCTAATATAGATTTCTTTACAATTTATTTAAACATGATCTAACTAGCTTCATTAACAATATTTTTAACTGGTTTCAAGTATTTTTAATTAATACTAAAGCAGAAAAACAAACTCAATTTTTAATACCTCTTAGTATTTAATTCATGACTTTATTAAACTATTTCTTTTAAAAATTTATTTTAGTTGAATTATTTAATCTGAAACTTCTAATCAACAAGCTACTAAAAGCAACTTTGATGATTTATTATAATACATAGCTTCTTAACAACTACAATTTCTTACTGATTTTATATACCAAAATATGATCAATAACAATAATACCAAATATATTACCTAATTATCTTTTATTTATTTTAAAAGATATCTTATTTAACTTTACTACTATTCTTTTTACAAAACTTAATTATAAAAAATATTTTACTCAAATTATTTTTTATCTTATTACTCTATTTTCAAATATTCTCAAATTGCAATTAATCTCACTTGTCTATATTTTTTTTTTTTGGTTTTAAGGTGAGGCCTTGCTCATATCTTTATTAGTAATAATTTTTTAATAGTAACAAAATAAATTACTACAGCACAGTTGCCAAGGCACCTGTAATCAGGGCTAACCATTAAACCACTAAATATAGGAATTTACAAAGCTACTACTATTTGTACCAGTACAAATAAAAATAAAAATTATATGCAAGAATAAGAGCCCAAACAGGAAAAAATTTATCTGCGACCTAAACCTACTAGAGTATTTTTTTTCTAAATTAATACAAAACTATTTATATTAAATTTTTTGAAGATTTGGATCTTAAACCTATTTGTATATTACTTTATTTTAATATTACATTTAACAATTCTGATCAATTATATCTTAAAATCAAAAATGATACCAAATATAATATTTATATTACTTTTGATATTTCTTTATAAAATTTTTTAAAAACTTTTTATATTTCTTTCTTTAAAACTTACTGCACAATATTTGACAAATAGTTCTTAAAATTTTTTAACTCGTACAAACAACAATTCTTATATATTAATCAACAAAAAGTTTATAACTTTATTAAATATCATATTATTAACTATCTTTCTAATAAATTTAAAAAACTACTTTCTAAACTCTTACCAATTTCTTATAGTTAAATAAAAAAGAACAAAAGCTTTAATTAAGGTATCACTATACTATATTTATACTTGTACAAGCAACACATTTACTATTTTCTCTAACAATACTTCTTATATTTTTAAAAATTTTATTTTTATAAAACTTATTTAAAACCAATATCTACTCTTATTTAAATTTTATTATTTTTCAACCAAACCAATCTCTAACTACTACCTTTTCAAAATCTTTACTATTTGAGTCTTTTAAAAAATTAGCTAACTTAGCAGAACAATAATTTATACAACTTAATAATACTTTCACAAATTTTAAATATAAATCTTTTTTACTATACTTACTTAAAACACTAAATAGCTACTGCTAAAAATGATAATATTAGCTCTAACCTTAAAAATACTCTTCAAAACACTTTTATTAAAACAACTGATTTATATACTCTTGCTAAAATTATATTCTATTTTGATATTATACAATTCTCTAATTTGCTAATTTCTCAAATTAAATACAAATATCACCAATTCTATTTTTCACAGATATTACAATATATATCTAAAAAATTTCAAACACCTAAAGTTTTTACTAATATTTTTTTCCTCAATAGAAAATACCAGATACTGAAACTATTAAATTTCTTTTTCATCTAACTAATACAAACCTTTTATCTACTAAATTTACTTAAATACTTATTCTCTTTAACTCTTAACAATATAATATATTACTATTATCTATATAAACTTTTAATAATTCACTTTCTTTACTATTACTGATTATAATTTTATTTTATCTACTATATTTATATTACTTTATCTATAAACAAAATTATCTCTTAAATTGTAATACAGACAAATTTGTCTACATTTTTTTTTAAACTCTATTTTTTTAATAAAATCTTAAATATTAATTTTAACAATATATTTCTTA